GAAGATTGTTTGGTAGCTCATGTATGAATAAACTCAAATGAGTGACAAACTGTTTTCGAATGCACCACAGTATATGTATATACATTAATATAAATTCATTACGCCAATTAACTATGATTTAATTTTTTCCGCCTACCCTGCAACATTTTTTATCGCAGCTGTTTGTCCGATTCCGGAACTCATACAGAACTTGAACGCCAATTACGAATATTGGGAAGGTTTAACAGAGAGCGAGGTTAAACCCGAGGAAGCGGATAATGCACAATGAGTTTCAGCTCGGTTCACTTTATTGTTGGCGCCCCCAAACAGCTTTCAATACACACACATCTATTGCTTGCGAAACCGGCAGTGGATGCAAACGAACGAACGAACAAACGGGAACAGAAGGGAGAAAACTCCGAATCCACGCATTTTCTTCAAGTCCAATGAAATAACTATTCTCTACCCCGAGGTCAATTTCTGCTAGTGATTTTTCTGTACCCATCAGACACGCAACTGACTACCACTCTCGCTGCAACATAAATTACGTGAGATCGCTCAATGGAACACATTTTGTATCCCCTGTTTGTGCACACAACCATCCGCACCCCCTCTCAATTCCTTTGCGACTAATTTTAGGCTTTATCATCCACCAATGGAGAGAAGATAAATTTCCGAAAAAAACATTAATGAGTCAAAATAAAATGCGATTTACTTATTGACAAGGACAATCATCAGACCCTTCTGGTGCGTGCAGGGGTGCATATATGCTTGTGGAAATAAATCGGTGGGACCACCATACGTTCAGTTCATCCGTGGACAGCCGCGGATAAGAACGTCTCACTGTGTCATATCGATCATATAACAATTTACACAAACACCACTGCAGTCATGCAACGTGTGTTTGCATGCGCTTGTTGAGTCCGATCGAGGTATTTTAGCATTCTGATACGCCTGATAATGTCGACCATCCCAAGCCCTCTCCTTTTCCTAAACAAGAACAACAAACTCTGCTCATTCCCCCTCCGTTTGAGGACGATTATTTTGCAAACAACACCCCATGTACAACCGAAGCACCTCCGCGTTTCTCCACCTCCACTTTTATATAGATTTGCTTGAATTCCTTCGTTGAAAACTTCATGTGTGCGTGTGTCTACGTCCATCCTTTCTCTCTATTGTACAGACTCCTACCCTCTCTTATTCTGAAAACTTTCGGATCCTCTCTAATTCAACTAAGCAATTTGAACTGTGCAATGTTCTATCAGATCGTTTTCATCTGTTGTCGATTCGCTACAATAACTACTCTCAATCGGGATTGACGGGCGATTATGGTCGTCGACGAGTGTTGAGTGCGGTCAAACTGCATGGTCCACTAATTTAGATGCGTACATATCTACCACGAGAAAGCCGTCTGACATTGTATTCAACCACTAATTAAGTATAGAGGCTCCATAGTTTTTCACTTATACGGTAAATACACGATTAGAAGCCTTCGTGATGATCCGTCATCAATTTCGTTACAATGTGCATAGCTACCGGGAATTATGGATTCTATACATGGGCGGTTATATTTATTTTAAACTCCTTGTATAACTGATTGGCACAATCAACACTCCAAATCACGGCAGTATTATGTTATTTCCAATGTGAAACGATTCTCTAACACGGATTGTGCAGACTAAAATCAAGTGTCATAAATCAGGGCCAGCTAACTATTTTTATTTGCTATTCAAAGCAAACTAACTCCACGACTGTTTGAATCTTTTCTGCTGCCCGCTCATAGGAGAGCTTTTGAGATGACCAAATCGCTTCAAATTTAACTGTTAGTTCGCTGAAGCTTTTAAAAGAACTCCAGAAATCAAATAGATCCAGCTGATATTTTTGATGTGACAATCAATAGGTATGAATTGCCGTTCCAGGTTAATTCGAGTAAAGTTTGCTCAGTCCAAGTTAATGCGATGCGCAAAGGAAATTGCTAAAATATGTCATAAGGGCCGACGGTAAAGCGGGACAATAAAAGCGATGTTCATACTTCCACTGCAGTCACAAAATACCAGACGGATAAATCTTGGTGTCTGTGTACACTGTGCATTGTGTGTTTCGTTTCCCATGAAAATCCAAATCCTTTCTCCTTGGTACAAAATGACTAGTCAGTTCCGTAATCGTTCTGACCGAATAAGTGAGTAAGATGAGTGTGTTATATTTATGTAAGCTTTTTGACACCAAACTATAAACCAACAAAATCACATTACAACAATATAATAAGCTTCCAGTAGTAAAGTGGGTGCTATGGTTATGTTCTATCCATTGTTCCTCTGATCGAATCGACAGTTATTACGATGGATTTGCGTTGCTGCTGCAACTAAACAGGGCTGATACACCCACATAATGATCTCTAAATTATATTCTCTCTTATATGCAAACTTCCATCCAGAAACTGAACTGAATAATTCAAAATCCCTGGTATCTTGATCTTGTTGTCAGGATACAGTTTTAGGTCGATGCCGTGTCCTGTACTACCTAAAAGTTTCCCCGTTGGCCTACCCTTAACAAACGGAGTATGGTGAACCCTGTTGTTTGGGCACTTATCGACACTCCCCTCAGCATAACAAATGACTGAATCAGCTTGAGATAATGAAAATAAATGAACTGCGAACGTTGAGCTAACAATGGCCTTGTGCCTTTTTTGAAAATGTACCTGACCAGATATGAAAGAAAATGATTTGTTTTTATAAAAGATAGGGTGATGTTACGGTGAGACGGATAACATACCGACACTGAACAGTCATAATCATCGGCCGTGGGACTTATCTTCAAGGGACGGGTGGCTGTATAACTGTTTTTTGCAAACAAAAGTACATCATTTAATATCAGGTTGAGTGCAGGTTTGGAAGATAGACAAACTTATGCGCATTATCAAGGCAGGTTGCACACATAAAGGCACACGCAAAGACAAGGAGAAGACAAGACAATTTAAAGAGGATTTGGTATAGCAAAGTAACTGGTCATTTTTAGGACCTTGAGCCATGAGTGCAATCTGGAAGACGATGATCGCATGTGTTTTAGTTTGAATGACATGTTACTTTATCATACGCTCATGTTGGAAATTTCCAGTACAGTGGTTATGGAAGGGTTTGAGGAAGATATTCCACCCAAACAACTTTTATAATCAACATTATGTACATGATCTTCCCAACACACAGAATGAAGCGGAACAAAAGGAGAATCAGTTACAAGATAATGTTTTGCCCCACGCGTGATTTCTGTCCTCTACTGAGGCATTCAAACGGTCCAAGTGACATTCAACGAATAGTGTGAGGAGGTGAGTGTGAACTGGCACGCCGGAGTGAATGAGAGCAGCGGTGGGATTTCTTCTGGGCGAGTGAGTTGCGACTTGGGGGTGGGGATGCCGTGATGAGGAAATGCGATTACAAGAACATGCCACCAGCTAATGCCAGTTGGGTTTCGTCAGTCTGCTGAAGCGTTCCCGGTTGCGTGTGCATGTGTCCATGTAAAAAGGAAAGGATGATACATTGATGTGTCAATATGCAACGATAACGGAAATGTATCTGAAACAGGAGTATCCAGGGTCAGCATAACAAAAGCAACAAAACAGACAACGAGACAATTTGGGGATTGGGACTTAGAAAAATATCGATGGGCTTGGGAGGTAAGGGGAGATTTAAAGATAATGTGTGTGTGTGGTGAAACAAGCATATGATTACATTTAGGGAACCAACCAGTTCCTTATAGGCTTGTGAAAATAAAAGTTTATTTCAGGGATATACATTGAAGTGATAATCGAACACAGATAAGTGGAAGTGTTGAGCCCCTCCTTATCAAACAAGGGGGAAAAACACAGACCCTTTTTGTTCGGAATTAAATAGACGGGAAGAGAATGTTTCAAGTAAATGAAGGTGACCAAAATGCGATCCCCTCATACGTGAGTCAGACCACAATCACGGCTTTGTAAGTGCCTGTGTGTACGCAATAAATAAATAATTGATTTGTATGGGATATTCACATGATATCAGGGTTGGACGGTTGCATGCATTTTGATGGGAATAATAGAATAACAGTTTTGTTTACATGGAAATTTATATATATATATATTTATATATACATATATATATATATATGTATATATTATAAGGCACTCGAGCTTAAGGACTTGCACATTGTCTTGAAAGATTTCACAAAGAACGTCCAACACGTCAGCAATGTAAGCAGAAATCTCTGGAGATTATTGAGACTAGATAAGGCGGTTGCTGTCTGCAGCAAACACACGCTTGCTTTGTCCGCAGAGTCAACAAAACAGTTCAAAATGAATAGAAAATGACAATTTCATACAGTTGAAAAAGGTTGCTCCTAGTTGGATTCTCAATCAAAAGATTACAAGAAACCTATAAGTACTTCAAAGTGGTCATGTAATTTTCCTTTAAAGAAAATACACCATCCACATCTACAGTCTTGATTGTCGTCGAATTTCGAAAATGAACATTTTCCTACAGAACAGATGCATTGATAGAATTTCGGATTTGGGAACTGGGGATAAAAATTTTAGCTGAATGCGAAATCCAAAAGATCGGCAAGCAAAGGGGCGAAAATAATGGGTTTGATAACAAAGGCCGTTAGTGATGGAATAAGGCACACAATGATAACAAGCCGTGAACCGGTCACTGAGTTCACAATCGTAGAATCAATAGTCAATAAAGAAAAAAGCAAAAAAGAACTGATGGGCAAGACTTGCAAAATTAGGCTCTGAGAAGGAACCTAAAGAGGCTTGAGCAGATGCAGTAAGGAAGTTTTATGATAACCAAATATTATTACGTGTTTCAAGAATTGATGCGATACGCTACGCATCAAAAACTCAAAGATACCGACGATAAATGAGCAGCTTGTGAAAAATAGGAAAGATTCTTTACAGGCAGCCATTTCACTCTTTGCCACCCAATAAAACCTATCAATACTGATTTTTGCAGTGTGATCCTGATGAAAATTATCTGTGGCAAAAGTGAGACTTAATGGGCCGACTGTAGCCCAAAACATAATTCTGCCTTAGCGTCCAGCAATAATTGTAGTAGTCCGTGGGATGCTACCTCCTTGGTTTTGAATTCCTGACCATCAACCCCATTGGACAATGTTTCTGAAGATGAACTTGTAGCCACGTGGCTAAACAGCATATTTAAACCATGAGCAATGCGAAGTTGTTCGTCCTCGGCATTTGTCTGTTGGTTTACAGCAACGGCTTGATGCCAAGTATCTGACTGGAATTCATGCCAGGCAGCATCAAACTGACGACTCCATGTAAGAAAGTCTTGAAGCATTGCCCTTCTTGAATTGGCAGCGGCCACTTCTTGCGGATGAAGTTCCAAAGCACCCGAAAATTCCGTGGTTCGACCACTAAGTGAAGACATTAATTTACGACTGGCGCTAAATGCCACTGTATCGGCAGCTTCACTGAAAACATGAACAAAATGGCTATGCAGTTTACCAAGTCTCTCCTTTCGTCCAGCCACATCAACTGAAAGTGAGCCCAAATGTGAAGATGTGTCCAAGTCAGAGACATCACTGTTTTCCTCTACAAACTGTGGATCAGTAAGCTTTAGCGCCAGGAAAGCTCCCATCAGTTGTGGTTGATGAGCCAGAAAATTGCCGAATTGTGCAATATAAGCATCCAGGTACTGTAGAATAGGGTAAGCCAATTGTTCGGAATGTTCCTGAGTCGCCGGCCGTACTGCTTTAATGGTCAGTTGAGCAAGACAATGGCTCAGCTTGGTCAAACTTAGTAAAACTGCACCACCTGGGTTACATCGGAATTTTACCACGGTCTGCGCAACCGGTTCTCCAGTCTGTAACAAAGATGGTTCCGTTTCTGATTTCTCGGATCCTTGTACATCCTTTTGTGAGTTGTTCAAGTATTTTAGACAACTGCTCACAGCGCTTTGTGTTTGCTTTGAGCACATTGGGGAAAGTTTGAGTTTTATTTTGTCACATGAACCCACGGAGTCATCAACGACAGCGTTCTGGCTTGTATAATGCTTTGCAGGCAAACAATCCGAAAACCTGGAACAGGCATCATTGTCTTCCGCCGTTATTAGACAACCGATCAGGAGTATAGGAACACAGTCGGCAAATCGATGCTGAAAAGAAATAGTTTGGAGAATTGAGTCATTCAAATATAAACCTTTGAAACGCGCTCAAAGTTGTATTACAAATGTCACCAATAATCACGAACTATTTCTCAGACGTTGACAATGATCCTTATACTGGCACAAAAGTATACAATGTTTATTTTTAGTTCAAAGTTTAAGTGATTTAATTTATATCGACCAAATAATAACTTATGAAGTTTCATTATGGTTTGGATGGTTAATTCTGGTCAAGGGGTAAAATTAGGGAGTAGACTGAATGAAGAATCTTTGCCCCAGAACCAGCTTTCCCTTAACTGATTTTGCTTTAATAATAAGATTATTGGCTTGGATATAGCTCCATTGCAGCTTTACTCCAGCTCAAAGCCACCAAGAATGACTGAATTGTGCTATCTAAAGAATCAAGAATATTCCTGATCGGCTGCAGTGAGGGACAAAGAGAAAAAAACAGACCTAGCATTTACAAACAATGGATATTATAAAAATCTACGAATAATCATCCCTAATTTCTTAGACTGAGAGCTTTGTTACCGACTCATTAATTTATTGAGGTGAATGTGTAACCCAATCTGATAGTTCTGAGAGTATGTAACTATAGCGAACTTAATAAGCCATCAAACCGATGAGCTGAAGTAATCTTTCTTGAGTCAGATATGGAGCTTTTAAATCATATGCACATTATTCTATTCTACTTTAGTTCGCTTCAATACTTATCTACGAGAAAATAAACCTTCTTTATGCCCATCCGGAATTGCAAATGCACAGACATGGCAACTCAAAATTAAGTCCTGAGAGAGAGGGATAAAAGTGAATGACGATTTTTCCGATATTATAACTTTTCGGAAAAGTGACACGTTGCAGACAATTGCTTTGGTCGAGAGCATCGATTTACTTGTGTGTGAAATGATTCTTTGAATGCAAGACGTGACCGGACACTAACCGGTTTTTCAAAACCACCCCGTTGCCTTGCTAACGGGTGGAATGCTCGACATGGCAGGAACAACCGGAACACCATCACTTCAAAAGAAATGAAGATATCACCTTAGCTGGTAATGAAACTTTGACAAACAAATTTCCAAGCTCGGTTATCAGGTGAAAATGAATCACTAAGGCCAGCACATGCATCATTTGAGTCGCCTGACGAAACCACAAAGACAGTCCAATCGCGGATTAATATAAATGTTGTCATTTGCTTGAGACAGGTAGCGGTTTGAAAGAGGTCAAGGGCGGTCAAAGGAAGACCTAGCATGAGGGTATGAAAACCCTAGCCAGGAGTCTGGGGCACATAGTTCCCATTTGCCTCCCTGACTGGGGACCCCGAGATCATGGTCACCGATGGTTAGATGCACTGAGCAATATGGCTGGGTGTCGCAAACAGTGGCGTTCATGCATCTACTCATTATAGTCTTGACACCAGTCTATATGAATTCTCTGTCTTCTGTCTTTTGCTTTCAACATTCCAATCTTTATCCTTTTCTTTTATTCAAATGGGCGACCAGAAGACGGCTACAAACCAGCACGCGAAAGTGTATGGTTAATGGCTGTAAAAACTGAAACTAAAACTGGAAGTTGTTTGAAGCCTTTTACGCTTGAAACAATCTCAATCTAGACAAATTTCCCAGTACGAGGCTCTATTTTAAAAGATAGAATTGGCAAAGTAAATGTGCAAGGATATTACAAATGCATCCTATCTTGTATTAACAAAAACTACCCCATGCATTTCATTTTCTCATGCCTATTTTCTATACCTATGTTCGTTATAGTTTCCCTTTCCTTTCCACAGCAGTTGAACCATGTATTATTCCGACTGATGAGGAAATTTACTCACACACCCTCTGCATCCATGCATATGGTAAAAAAAATAAAACATTTAGTTACCTTTGCAAGCCACAGAAGGTCTTGCCAAGTAAGAACTGGATGAACCTGACCAT